AGTTAACATAGAGGCTGACACCAGACACTCCTTCAACTTCTGAAAACTCTTTTCAATATTTGATTTCCATTCAAATTGTATAGCCTTCTAAGTCAATCTTGTTATAGGGATAGAAATCTGTGAAAAGTCTTTTACAAACTTTCTATAATATCCCGCCATTCCCCAAGAAAAAAAAACTATGGACCTTGGTCATAAATGACGACATTAGCCAATCAACTATGGCCTCTACCTTATTGGGATCCACATTAATGCCTTTCTTACTATCACATGTCTTTGAAATGCCACATAAGTCTTTGAGAATTTAGCATTTAACTTCTACTACTTTAGAGTCTCCAAAGTAAATCTAAAATGAATCACATATTCTTATTCATATTTTGAATACACCAAAATATTATCATAGAATACAGTAATAAACTGATCCAAATACTCTTTGAACACTCGATGCATCAAATCCATGAATATTAATGGAGCATTTATCACACCAAATGGCATCAATAGAAACTCATACTATCTATACATGATACTGAAAGCCATCTTCACCACATCTTTGACTTTCACCCTCAACTGGTGATATCTTGATCTCAAATGAATCCAAAAAAATATAGCTACTCCCTCTAGCTATCAAACATATCATTAATTCTAGGCAATGGATACTTATTCTTCATTGTTACTTTGTTTAACTCATAATAATCTATAGACATCATGAGAGATATATTCTTCTTCTTCACAAATAACAAAAGACCTTCCCATGATGGCCCACTCGACCTAATAAAACCTTTACCCAACATCTCTTGTAATTGCACTTTCAACTTCTGCAATTCATTGAGTGCCATCCTATACAGATTCTTCACTATCAGAGTCATACTCGACGCCACCTCAATATAGAATTCTATATATATCTTTAGTAATCCCATATAACTCTTCAGAAAAAATATCAAGGAATTTCTTTACCACTAAAACATCTTTTAAGACTTTAATTGATTTGTTCAAATCTCTTATATATGTGAGAAATGCATAATCTCTTTTTTCCAGGCCTTATCCACTTGCAATGACGAGATAAAGAATGATAAAACACCTCTAGTGCCAAGAAAATGAAACACTTTCTCGTCTACACAGACTTACTCGCTTCTTATGACAATAGATCTGAGCATGGTATTGACTCAATCAATTCATATTTACTATTGCAACAAACTCCTTTAGAGGTAATAAGATTAGTGTTGTGCTAACTTTCTACCAATAATCTTAAGCTCACACACACAAACCTTATTGGCAAACATCAAATCCTTTGTCGATAACATAACATATTACTCGAGAGATAACAAAATAAATGTTAAAATTACATCATCCAGAATATATTCAAATATGAAAGAATGGCTGGTAGTAGAATAAAAAAGAATGCTACAAGGTCACTCAAAAATATGTGCCATACTTATCACTACATTTGGTGCCTCCCTTGCCTCTTGTTATATCAAACTATAAACTCTAGGCTGAATTGGTCTAGGATGGAATCTCACTGAGCACCTCCAACTAATATACTAGTTGGTCTCCCTCCAAATTTGCCTCCACCATGGGTCGACGAGGCCTCACTAATAGCTCTAGAAGGGGCTGGTTGTTGCCTTTGATTGTCCCTGATTTTAAGTATACCTTTTGGAGCTCTCTATAGAGTCTACGCCACCTTGTGACCCACATGTCTACAACTAAAGCATTGTCCTGTACACAGATAACATCGACCTGCATGCCTTCTCATGTACAAACTATAAATATGCACACTGTTTATAGGGAGAGATCCTATGACACTCCCACATATTGCAAGTTCTCCCCTCCCATAATCACAAGCCTCCACTCTGGTCCTCTTCCCACTAAATGCACTTATGGATGGCTCTCTTACAAACCTCTTGTTGCTAGTATCACATCGCTACTAGGTGGATATTAGATTATTCTCCACCAGCCTAGCCCTCTCATGAGCTCATAAAAGTCACTAATAAGTAAATAAATAGCAATATAGGAAAAGTAAATAAATAAATACTTTATATATTAGAACAAAAAATAACAGATTTCCTTCAAGCCCTTATACTTCAAATCAGAACATAATTCAAAGAATTTTAGCCCTTATGAATCTTGTGCTGGTAATTCATAAAATAGACCATTATAACTCTTAATGCCCAACACCAAAATAGAGTGTGCATATAGCACCATAACAGAGTGTGCATATAGCAACATAATAGCACTATAATAGAACTTCCTCTACACACATCAGAACTTCTTAAAATGACACATTTCAGTCAATAAAGATATAATTCATTGGATTACAACAAAAGAAATATAAATAAATTCATTTCAGAATTTAACATAATGCTTTAACAGTAGATAGTGGAATGCACTCCTGAGAAGAAATATAATATTTTTAAATATAATCAAATTATCAATGATTGCTTAGAGCATTATTTGAAAGCTTTAATTTACTACAACATTTTTTTGGGAAGCACAATTATTTTCTAATTTTTCAAAAACCTTACATTTTCTAAGTCACCCGAAGAAAATTTCTTAGAAAAATACCTAAATGTTCAGAACTGTTGTATATATAACATATGAAAAGCCATGTAGTGAAAGTTTAGTAGGTGTAAAATTATCCACACTTTTGCTAAAAAAATTATAAATAAAATTAAAAAAATATGAACATATTCTTATTTTTGAAAACTAAGATAGACAAAAGGTAACCAATCTCGAGCTGGATAATTTTCAGAACTAGGTTGATGGCTTAAAATGGATTAGAGTCGGCCAAAATTGGCTTTCTCTCTCTAGGATTCCTCCTCTCTCTATCTCTTTCTATCATATGTGTAAAATTATCCACATATATGAAGTCAAACTATTCCATACTAGAAAACTCAAATTAAAGGTGAGATACTTTTATGTGTTAGTTTTGCATGAAAATCTTACGTACAAATAGATTAAAAGAGAAGAACACAAGAGACATGAAACTTTTTTACTCTAAAACCTAAAAAGAAAAAGATCACGGTGTCTGGCCTAAACAAAAAGCTCCATTAGGGGTGTCAATATCTGATACGGCTAGAAAACCTAACCCAGTCCAACCCAACAATTCTAGGTTTGGGTTAACCCATTTAACAAATGAGTCGGGGTTGGGTTCATTTTTTTGAATCATTTCAATATCAAGTCGAGTTTAGATCAACCCACCAACTTGAAATCTACATGTATTTGACCCGCCAACTCAACATATAGATATATATCTTAGGTCATGTACACTTCAACATTCAAATGAACCATTAAAATAAATATAAATGGGTTGGGTTAAACATGTTGTCGGCTTGTTGGGTTTGGGTTTAGGATTTTTACCCATTTATTAATTGGGTAATGTTCAGGTTGGATGGGTTCAAAGAGGTCAATTTTGGGGTTCAAATTTAAACCTGGCCCAAAAACAAATTTTGACACCCATATGATCCATTATATTGATAAATATTATATAGGTTGACTCTTTTCCTTAATTTGAGAAGGTGGGAGTATAATGTATGGAATACAAAATTCAATCTCTACTGCTTGTAATTGAGGATTTTGGAGAAGTATTGAAAAGTAGTGATAATGATTAGATAATATTAGTTGGGTAGTGCGATAGTAATTGAACTATGACAATCAATGATAGTGTATGTGTGATGGAAATGGAGTTATGATAGTGTGGGTTATAGAGTACATTTACAATTTTGGAGAGTAGCATTTTAATAAATCTAGCCAAAATATCAAAACGCTTCATCGGATGACCGACCAATGTTAATTTATTAAAGTACAGGCCCTTCTTTCAGCGTTTAAGCATTTTAAGACCTTAGAATTGAGTGATCTTATGCTCATTAGAATCTTCTTGTCGATATGCTCATCTTGATTGTAAGCATGTTAGATTTGAAAAAATATTTGGTCTATCAATTAATGTTGCAAACTTTCTGATCATGCTTCAAGTATTTGATTTGAGTTCATTTAAAGTCAAGCCAAATCTTTTTTGTTGTTGTTGTTATTGTTTTCATCTTGCTGAGACATTCTGTTCAACCATAAATTTGCATAAATAAAAGTGTGAATGATATTGAATTAAGTTCTAAAAAGCTTCTTATAAAAAAATTGCATAAAAAATTCGTGATAATGTATCAAAAATATTCAAACATAAGGCCACACCATTGATTAAATTTCATTAATTTTCATGATTATTTAACATCAATCAAACAAATGAAAAATGAAAGGATAATCCACAAACATTGTAGCTTTTCTTCTTAAAAATCATCTATATTGTCAATTTTAATGGTGATAATAATACTAAAATCTAAATGAGAGGCCAATATTGTTCTCCTCCGAAAGGAGAAAAGTATCTCCTTAAACATTATTTATTTTGTTATGTAGCTAATCAATTTGGCTTATGTACTCATAAAATTAGTTAAACTATGGTTAATACAAAGCCAAACATGAGCTGTTCATGCAAATCAAATATCTTTGCCACTCCAACTTACTAATTTATCACACAAGTCCCATTAACCAAAGCAAATTTCACTGAAAGAAAATGATTTTAATTTTAGACTTCATTTGGGACAGCTTTCTTATTGCTTTCCGAAGCTATTATTTAGTACAAAAATTTTTTGAATTAGAATTTTTTGTTCTAAAAAGTTGCTTCATAAAACAGTAAGAAAGCTGTCAGAAACAAAGCCTTAATCAAACTTTCTAAATATAAGCATTAATAGTGTTTTATTATCTGAAATAGTCAGGATCTGTTGGAGAAGAGAGAATGATGTACAGAACAACAGTTTCTGAGTTCAAAATTTGAGACAACTACAAGATAAGAAAATATGAATTTCATTCCAAAGATTATAGCAAAACACATTAGAGAGTCACAAAAAAGAAATTTATGGAGTTCTAAATTGAAAGAAAATGGATTCAAGTAAGAAAAAAATAATAGCCAAAAAACAATCAAACTCTTATATTCTTAAGAAAATCAAAAGGAAAACAAAACTTCAATCTTCTTGCCCTGCCATTACCATCCTACTAAGAGGACTTGGTCCAATCTTCTTCCTCCTAAGAGAATTCTTTCTCCTCACAAACTCCATCTGATTTCTCCTCCTAATCTGCATCGTTGCCTCTTCCACAACAAACCTTCTCATCAACACATCTTCTGTAAGTGACTTCCCTCTGAAAACTCTCCGGCCTTCAACCGAAGTTCTACTGCTTTGAATCCTATAAATTTGTTCATCAAAAGACCTTGATCTTGCCAAATTACTGGTGCTTCTTCGCGGAGGCACGCTGGCCCAGAAGACCTCATTGTGTGCAGAAATAGGAGAACAAAGACAAACTCGAGTGAAGGAAAATGCCCATTTCAAGGAGCTGCACTTCCTTAGCTTTCTCTTGCATGAATTATCCATTCCTTCAGTACTTTTTGCTGCAGGTTTCCAAATGTTTATGGCCTCCAGTGCTCTCTGATACCAAGGCTTCCTGTGATGAGAAACTATCAGATAAGTATTAGAAATATTGCTTGCTTGAAGATAAAGAACTTGCCTTGTTTGTCCATTTTTGGTGTCTTGCATTAATAGTGAGTTAAAAAACATGGAAGTGGTACAGAGAAGAGAAGAGGTGGAGAGCAACAGTGTAATGAATGACCTCAACAGTTTCAGAAATATGTTTAGAACAGATAGAATGGCAAATTAAGTGGTCCTTTAATTTTCTCTACTTTTATTCTTCTCACTCTTCTCTTCTTTTTTGTTGTGACTTGCTTTTGCTTTGGTAGGGTTCATTGCAATGAGAAGGGAAGGAGGTAAGAATAAGTCTTGTCGTTTGGGATAGTTTATTTATAATTTAGTTTTTCAGACAGTAATTAGTCTTTTTTTTTGCGTTATTTTCTTGTTGTTTTTCCAAAGTTTTTGTGATGAGAACAACTTTTTTTCACCAAATCGATTAATGTGAAATAATTGTAAGAAAGCTGTTATCAGACTTTTCGAAAGAAGAAAAGCTTATAATATCAACAACAACCATAAATAATTCTATTTTTGTCATCATAGTTCTACTAAGATTTGGTTTGTGACCGCTTTTTTACTGCTTCATAAAGCAGTTTTTTAAATTTTTGTATGAAAAAGCTGCTTTACGAAGCATTAAAAAAGTCGTCCCAAACGAAATCCAGCTGCTTGTTAAAATCGTTATCAAACTTTTGCGATGAAATCATATCAGGTTATAAAATTTTGTTTCTCATCACAAATTTTTTCCAAAAAACAACAAAAAAATTATAGCCAAACAAGGATGACTGAAAAGTGAAACAGTGAAAGTTAAATTGCCTGCTTATCCTTTAGCTGGAAATGACAGGAAGGGCTCTTTCCACCAATGTAAAAAACATAACAGACCCCATATGAATTATTTATAACAACACCAATGAGTCTAGCCTGTCAACATAAAATCCAACAATAAAGAAAGACACAAAATGACTAACGGCACACTGATGCCTATGATTATTTGAAGAAAATTTGAAAAGAAAGTTGTTGGTGTGAGCATTTTTATATGTTAATTTGGCCATCATTTATATAACATGATAGATGATAAGGATGGAATCATGATTTTGTTGTCTCTCGATTCAATACGCTTGGATTTGTGACCTTAGGTGATTTGTAAGTCGCATCATATTATGACAATTGCATATGATTTTGGGGGAGCTTTGAATCCTTGCCTTTTGGAGGTGTTCTGGGACGATAATTCTCCGGAGGCTGTCCACATGCTTCGTGTAGATACAACAGCCGTCGTACTGAACTGCGGTGCGAATGTATCGGTCTGGTGTGATGCCTGGTCGCTCTGGTGGGACTGACGTAATGTGGACTTGCCCTGTGGGCGAATTATCCTCGGAAGCTAATCTTCGTTTTCTAACTCATCGCCCAGTATCGGAGTTTATATTTACGGGGGAGTTCAGTTGTGACGCGTCGTGTTGGTGCCAAGTCCCTCGTGCCTTAGGGGACGGTCCGACGCAGGCATAGGTCTGCTGGTTCGTACGGCCGCTCGCGCGAATGGGTGGGTCTGGGGAAGCTTTTGCGTCGCGATATAACTAGCAAGGTTTCATCTCTCTGGACCGTGTATGCGCATAGGAGGGGCACTCCTGGATCGTGGAAGGAAGGGGACGTTTCGCATTTGAAGATGTGTGGCTTTGCAGAGATCCGTTGGCGTGACATCGTGAGTGGTGGAAGGAAGTAGCACTCTTCCTGTGTGCGTATCGGTGCATTGGTTTTTGGGCCGGTTCGTAGGGCTTCGGTTTGCAAAGAGCTGGTAAAACGGATCCTCTCTTCTGCAGTATATATCAAACCAGGTTTAATGCTCGTGAGGGACGCTTCTTTGGCTATACGGTTGATGCGTGCTGCCTTTGTGATATGTCTCCTTCTCCTATAGAGGTGGTCTTCTATTTGGGACGCTGAAAGGCTAGCGGCTCCAGGACTGCCCCCATCGGGATCGATCGCTTCCGATTCAGGACTGATTCCTAGATTGGCCTGGTGCAGCAATTTGTATAAGCTTTGTCGTGTTTGGTTGCGCATCTGCGGGAGGTGTTCCCCAGGGGCATGTCTGTCGTACGCGGAGTCCGCTCCTATATTGGGCCACCTGGTAGACCGCGAGGGGTCTGTAGTCGTAGTTGGGATTAGCTTTCCCTACATTTTCGACCGTCGCCTATTGTTCTTAATTGCGGGCCACATAACGTTAAATTTACCGAGCGATAATGGTGTATGATTTTGCATTCTTTATGTCGTCTCTCAAGCGCTTTGGGACACGGCGTTATAACTGAGGCTACACCCACCATTGTAGGAGGACAAGCGCTTTCTTGCATACTCGTTTGCGACACAACTTAATAAGTGGACAAGAGGACCACGAGCGCGCGCTTCGCTCTATGATTGAGAGGAATGATCTTCACTAGGATATCTTGGCTGGCTTATACGGAAAAGAATCTGAACTGCACCCTCGCAGCTCGGGTGAACCCACGAGTTCAAGCCAATTCTTCCTGAAAGCCTAAGGCCTGACTGCGCTGGAGCACTCGCGGCGTAGGTACGTACGGGATCTCGCGCGATACTGTATGGAAGGCCCGACGTAGGCTTCGCACGTCTGGCGACTCAGTTTGGCCTCGGCTTGAAACAAGAGACGCCGGGCTCTTTGGCAAGGAAGGTAAGGATGAATATGGGCTCTTGAAGCGAGACGTCGGCGTCTTTGGCAGGACGTCGGGACTCTGAACGTCGGACTTAAAGTGGTGTCCGGCGAGGTTCCTGCGGTGGCCGGCGGTGGCGCAACGAGGTTTCTGCGGTGGTCGGCGATGGTCCGACGAGATCCTGCGGTGGTCCGGCGGTGGTTCCGAACGAGGTTCTGCGGTGTCCGGCGTGGTCGCGGCGGCTGTCGGAGGATGGAACTCCTTCCTTCTCCTTCTCTCCTTCTCTTCTCTTCTTCTCTCTCTGCTAGATGCTCTCTGTAAGATGAGGGCTCTATTTATAGATTTCTGTGAGTGGATGGTCCGTAATAGGTGTGAATCAAAGGGCGAACAGGGAGTGGTTCCAAATGGAAACGCCGATATTGAAATCTACGATCGTGCATCATCGTGGACATTTGCGAGGCCTTAATGATGTCCGGAATTTAGTGATCTTGGGCTAAGTTGGATTCGTCTCGTCGAGCCGTTCGACTTCGAGTATAACGCTCGTCAAAGTCGGAGACCGTTTGGTAACATCAAATTGCAAGTTTGGAACCTTCACAGCGGTTTGGCTCTTGATTTGGACTGCATTTGGTCGGATTGGGTGATCTTGTGTCGTTGGGGTTCGTATTTCCGAGACGCTCAGTTACGACATAAGCTTGCTGAAATCGGAGTCTATCCTCCCGGATTTAATTTTTTTGAAGTTTCCAACTCAGCCTTTTGCTTACGAGATTGTGCCCAATCAAGCTAATTTTTGTGATGAGTATCAAGACTAGTAAATGGACTTCTGTTCTCTGTTTATCTTTGGTTATGCTTGTTGTTCTTTGTATTCTAAATCACCATTATTCGTTTATCGTCAAGTTAGTTTTGCTTATGGCAAAAAGTTGCAATTGGAATGACAGTGTTGATGGCCTCAGCACGTATGTAACGCAATAGCTGCTTAAGTGAGTGAGATATTCAGCTTGTTATCCATTCTAAAAAAATGATATAACCTCTAAGCAATTTTAAAAACCATAAAAGGGTAATCTAAAGGGGAAGCCTATTCAGAGATCCTATATCTTAATATAATTTTTATTATCAGTAATGAGCTATTATGTATATTGTAAATATGGATGGTTTTCTGTGGGCAGGGAATTAAAGAATAATCATCAAACTTCAAACATTACATCTACTTTCCTTTATGAAGTTTTATGTTGTTATTGAACCTGACAAATACTATCGCAAAATGATTGTATGTTAGGCGATGGCTTTCTTTTTTTTAATAATATGTTCAATGAACTATGGTCTCATTTTGAGATGTGATATTATTGTGAGAAAATTTTTTAAAAAAAGCATCAGTATTTTTTTTTTCTTGCTATTACATTGTACAGATTCAGTCAGTGAACAGTTTTTTATCACATAACTTTTGGGAAAAAAATTATACTGAAATCAAAATTGTTATTGATACGTCATGCAAAAATTATCTTGATGGGCATCGAATCTCGAGGCAGAAAATCAAGTTAGGAAACTTCAAAAATTACAATCCGGTGAGCCACCTGAAACTCCGATTTCAGCGAGCCTTAACATCCAAACTGAGCGTCTCCCGGAATCCAAACAACGACTACACCCAATTCCAACTCATCTGAGCCCAAATCGAGCCAAATGAGCACCCGAAGCGTCTGTTGGAAGTTCGTACCACAAATTTGAGTTGCCAAACAGTCTCCGTTTGACGAGCTTAATAGTCGAACGAGCGACTGACGAGACATAATCCAACGAGCCCAGATAACGAATTCTGACATCATAGGCCTTCAAATGTTTCCAAATGCAAGTGGTGCACGATTGAAGGATTGATATCAGCCGTCATCGAACCACCTCCCTATTTAACCATTGACTCACACCTAATTTTTACGGGCTTATGCCCACTCCAAAAAACTATAAATATACCTCATTTCCTCATACGAGTGGACTGAAGCAAAGAGAAGAGAAAGAAATAAGACAGAAGAAAAGAAGAGAAGGGGAAGGAAATCACTCTCCTCGCCACCGCCGGAGTTCTTCCAGCGCCCCGAAAGACGCCGGGATTCTGCCGACATATTTGGGAGAAACGCGGAATTCTGCCCCAATCTCTCAAGTGATCGCTGAAATTCTTTCCCAATTAACGACAAAGTCCCCCTCGCGCGAACTGCCGCCCAAGTTGCCGGGTTCTCCTCATCACCAACAGGACGTCGAACTTCTACCTGACGCCGACCTTCCTCTTCGCTAAGCTTTCTACCGAGCACCGAGCTATCTACCGTTATCGGACTTTCGCTGACGTTATTTAAAATGGATTTCTTCCATTTTTAGACTGCTCCTCACAGCCGTCCTTCTGACTTCATCGCCAGACACAGTCTTTCGACTCCGTCGCAAGCCGACTAC